ACATTGTCCCACTGGGTGTCTGGGGACAATGGAGCCTGCTGGTGTCCAGAGATGTGGGTGCCCAGAAACATCCAATGTCCCCCACCTCCCCCTGAGCTCAGCAGGGATGTGGGCAGGGACAGGGACCTGACTCCATGCTGTGTAACTCCTGTGGCAGCAGCACAGATCCATTGCTGCCCCCAGGGGATGCTGGACATGGCTTCCCTGCCATTGTCCCGATTCTGGGAGAGCAAAAGTTTCTGGGCACCCACATCTCTGGACACCAGCAGGCTCCATTTTCCCCAGACACCCAGCGGGACAATGTTCCTGTGAGTTTCCAGTGTATTCTAGATTTCTGTATGTGTGCTAAAGGGGTTGCTCAATGTCCCTGCAGTGTTCACGTCCTGAGCGCATGGCAGCAGGAAGGAGGGGCGGTGACAGTCCCCTGCAGCCTTGCCAAACTGGGGGGCAGGAGCTGGACCCGCAACCAGAGGGCCCCAGTTCTGATCGTGTTGGGGGATTGAGCTAACACAGGAGAGGATGGGAGAGACCCAGGGCACCTCTCCTCCTTGCTACCCCCCGTAGTTCCTGGCACGGGGAGGCAGCAGGACCCCCGGCCAGCTCGGGTGAAGGCCACGGGGAGGCTGGGCCGGGATAGATTGCACAGAGCCAGGGACACAGCAGGGCCCAGCCCCAGCTGGGCTGGAGCCAAGCCCGACCCCAAGGGCATCCAGCCCAACCCCGGCTGGCAGGGGAGGACAGCAGGGGAGGGACGTGCCCCAGCACTGCATAAAAAGCCCCCGCAGGGACAGGGAGCAGGTGACACTGTCAGAAGAGCCCAGAGCAGCACTGCCAGAGCTGTAGCAGAAGGGCCATGGAGCAGTACTTCTCAGCCACCCAGAAGATGGAGCAGGAGGTGATGTTCCCCAGCTTGCTCCGAGGGGTCTTCCCGCAGCAGGAGGGGGCAGCCCCGGCTGCAGAGAGCCGCACGGACCTCTACGAGCGCTACCAGCTGCTCAAGGCCATCAAGCCCATGGTGGAGAAAGGCCTGGCCTCTGTCGGTGACCAGAGCCCCAGCGATGCCGACAGCGATGTGGACACATCCTTGGACAGCAACGAGGCCCAGGATGCCCAGCTCGAGGAGCGCCTGTCCCACCACCTGACTGGCCTGCAGCAGGTCCTCACCCACCTCACCAGGGACACCAACGCCCTGACCCGGAGGTACAGCCAGATCCTGGAGCAGATCAACCTCAGCGAGGGGCAGCCCAGCTGGTGACCCTGTCCGGGCCTCCAGGTAAGAATTGGGGATATGCAGAGTCCAGGGGCAGCAAGACAATGGGAGGCCTCCCTGTTGGGAGAGGTGCCCGACAGTGCAGGGCTGGGGACGTGCCTGGAAGGGCCTTGAAATGGGGACTGTCCCCTCAGCTGAGATTGGATATCCCTCTCCATGCTGGAGGAGGGAACGTGTCCCATTGCTCTGTGCAGAGACTGCAGGGCTTCAGGGTCTGTGGGCTCAGGGCTGATGGTCTGTGTGTCCCCCTGGGATGATCCTTGGAGTTAAGGAATGCTGCTGTTGCAGGACAGGTGCTGGTGTCAGGAAGCACAAGACATCCCCATCGCTGACCACTGCAGGCTCTTCCCAGTCACGCTGGCATTCCCCGCTCCATGGCAGCTGATCTGACACCGGAGATGGTTGTGACCACGGCAGAACCAGATGGTGCCTTATCCTCATAGGAAGAAGCATCTGGCTGTGCTGGGAAGGCCACTGGAAGAGCTGCAGGCTCGTAGCCTGCTCTTTATTTTCAAAGAGTGGAAC